GTCTGACACTTTTATATATATCTTAAATTAAAGCTAATGTAATATACTTTATAATGGTAAAAAAAAATTTCGGACTTTATTTTATCTTCATGGTGAAAACAGACATTAAACTTAATAAAAAAAATACGATTTTTGTAAAAAAATTCTTTTTTATATTTTTAACTTTATAATGCTATAACTTCTCGAAAGATGTATGGATCAATATAATTCTTTTTTTTTGTAGATGCATGATGTCTTTACCTATCATTTGGTATATTTTTTTTATAAATCTGACTTTTTATAAATGAATGGTATCTATTTGGATGGTTATGATTATAGGTTTTCCTTCAAATTTTTCAACGGGACTGCTACCGTTGAGTACTCTTTTAAGAGCTCCTCCTATGAGGATTTTTCCTAGATTACCTAAGTCTACTAGAGTTAGATCCATGACAAAGTATGCAAATGTAGTCATTTTGTAAAGGCGGTATAGGAAGAAATAAATTATTTTATAATTGATTATGTTTCACACAATTACGCAGTGGAAATAAATAATTATACTATATTTTAACATCAACTTATAATAATAAACAGTTTGGGCGTCCCCTGCTTTATACAATGTTTCATACAAATAAATTTTATTAATACAATAAATATTTTTAACTGATCCGACCTGGTGTTGTTGACTTCCACTCGTGTCTGACTCGAGACGCCTTCAAATGTTCTGTAGGTCGCCGCAATGCGATACGCCTGAGCCTCGCCAATTACACGGTAATCCTCTATTACGTGAACCAAAAAACCGTTATTTTAAACAAACCGCAATGTTATACCGCCGAACAAAAAAACAACATTCTCGGTCACCGATAATTCCAGTTGCAACAAAACCCGAGAGAAATTATAACTCCGAGGTTAAAAAAAATAATAAACCGAACAACACACACAATACTGAAAACGTGTTCGGGCCGCCGCCGACCGATGGTCACCGAACCGGCTCCACTGATAAGGCCGACAGTGGTATCAGCTGACCACGGAGGCGGCACTACTGCCTGGCGTGAACAGATTAGCTTAAAGTAACTTAATTATTATAGTTATTGATAATATTATATTATTATAAAGTATATATTTATGCTTTAGTGTGAGTAAGATGATTAATAATGTGTAATAATAATTGTCTTTATGATATTAATAATATTAATAATAGTAATGAATACCTTAGTTTTATCCTATGCTTTGTAAGTTGTGTATGTTGTGTTGGTTTTTGAAAGACTAATTAATGATTATTTAAAGGAAAGAGGAATACTTGTTTAGTGATTTATAAGGTTTGGTTATAATTAATTTTATGGTTTTCTTTTTATATATATATATATATATATATAAGGGTGTTAAACGTAGTGATTTAGTTTACATTGTTGGCGGTCTATTGTTAAATTGCGTATTATTGGTGTATAGTTTTGGATATAATTTATTTATATCATCGATGTTCTGATTTGTATATTGTATGTATGTTTGTGTGCTATTTGAGTGTGAGGATGGTTGTTCTTCTTTTACTATGTTATTCATTGGTTTTAAATAATTATTTTTGTGGTTGGCATGCATAAGGTAGTGTGTAATACTAGAGAATATGCCAGCTAGTAATTTGAAGCTAAATCCAAATGTTTGATATAATATAGTTATATTTAATATTGTATTAATAAATATTATGATAAGTTTCCAAATGAAAAATAAACCTAAACAACCACTAATAATATTACCAAAGCCAATAAACCAACCCCATAGTTTTTCCATTTCTTTTTTAACTAAATTACTTATAGTGTTTTCATCTATCAGCGATGATAGTTTTAATGGATTATATACTGCATAACCCATAGATTGTCTTGCGAGATTATTTTGTGCAGCTAATACTTCTTGTGGAAATAGTAGATGCTTTTGAAATGAATTCATTAATTCTCTTGAATAAAGACCCGCATTCATTAAGTGTTCTGGACTTTTATAAGACCAAGTAAATGCTGTTTCAGGTTTTAATAATTGTGGGGGATTTATTTGTCTGAATTCAGGTGATAAACTAAACCATATGCTTTCTATGAAGTATGAGGAGGGTAATAAATCATTACAATTTATTTCAGTGCCGTATTCTTGTAATATATGAGTTTTAGGGGAAAGAAACATTGTTTTATTATTATATTTTACAGGTAATTCATTAAAACAACTTGTTGTTTTAGCTAGTTCTACTTCTACAGGTTTACATTTTAATAGATATACTATTTCTCCAGCTTTTAAAGCTGTATAACCTGGTCCTTCACCCATGAGAAAAGCAAATTCAGAAATGCTATACGATGCTAAAGTTAATTTTTGCATTAATAATTTACGTTCTAGATTACATTGTTTTAACACTAAATCTGTGTACATCG